GGATTTTCAGGACTTTATTCAGCTGCTATAGAAAAGTCCAGCTTCATCAAACTATCTTCATCATTATTTTCCCTCCATCTTCTGTGGTTCCAGGTCTGCCTCTTACGAGGGAGAAGCTAATCTGGGTTTCATGTGGAGCTGATCCACCAAGGAGGTTCTAGATAATAGCCACAGCTGGTGCTGGAGACCCAGTTCTTCCCTGGTTCTAAACTATCGGGGTATTGCTGAAACCCCCCAGGGTCAAATCAGAAAAGATTTAATCATTTATTATAAACATCTAATCCTGAACAATGATGTTTATTGCCACAAACAGAGACTCAAATATTAGTAGTTTATTCTGGGCTAAAACAGTTCATTGAATTGAATAATAATATGGTAATAATATTGAATTGCGGCATAGTGTAATGGCACCGACTGTTAAACTGAATTTATTGAAGGAATACGTTACTTACAGAGCGAATTAAGACAAAAATCTACAGAAAAACATGAAAACATAGAATATTTTTTTCCAAAGAGATTCAATTGTTTTTGTTTTAATATATTTATATAATTAAATGTGTATAAATGTGTAGTTTTTATGTTTCTTCATTTGCAAATCATTTGAAATGTGGAATTTCTTTATTCCAAATATTAGTTTATTAGGAAATGTTACTTTACTAAAAGTATTTCTTTTTAGATCAATTGATAATCAATAGGTTTTTGAGAACGGGTTCATTAAAGAGGCAGAAACTAACCTTCATGGATTCAGAGGAACATCCTCGCCTCTAAATGAGCCTCTGATCCAGCCGACCTCTGGAAGATAACCCTCGATAACCTGCAGGAGGATCAGAGACGTCAGCTTCTGTTCATCTCATTGAAGCACAGAGGTTTTACTGCTTTTATTCAAACCAATTAAAACTCAACTAAACTAGAAGGTTTTACACAGTAGGCCTGATATCAGGACTGGCTGCTGCTCCCCAGGAGTGGAATGGTTCGTAGACGGTCCAAGATGGGTTCTGAACCCCTCAAACTGGAGCTTCTAGCTGTCCCTGTTACTCCACCTTCCACTGGTCAACAGATGAGCTCCATCCAGGGTAGGAAAGGAGCTCCAGGCTGCTGTGGTGAATCCAGACAGATGGCAGCCTATTGGACGTCATAACAGACACACATCAATGATGCTGGTCAAACTGGGACTACAGTCTTTAGAAACTCAAATAAAAAAGCAAAAGTAGTGAACGGCTGAAGCTCTGTTATAAAACCCAAAACATGAGGCGAAGACGTTAGCGTGTCTAACATAGAGAACAGCAAAGAAATAATGCATTTTGGTTGAACTCTACACCTATACATCCTGTCTACCAAAGGACTGTGGTGAAACATTAAAACTTTGGATGAATTGTCCTCACCTCAGAGCCTCATTAACGAAAATTCAGACCCTTATTTGGAAGCATCCTAAGTCTCCATGGAAACAATTATAATGCTGTGGCATAAGCTTCCAACTTTACTGTAACCCAAACATTATTAAATTAAACAATCCAACTAACCAGATAAAATGATCTTTTTGTGTTTTATTTTAATCTTCTCCCAGGTCCTCTTCACTCCAGAGGGGAATGTGATTCATTTGTATTACAATGATTGGGAAGCAGGTTGAGTTAAATGTCACTGGTGTGTAAGCTGTTGATTTACTCATTCAGCAATCCTTTTGCAACATCATTCTCCATCTCTTTCATGCCGCCACCTTGTTTGACTTTAAATAGAGATTTTTTCTTTGTATTCCTTAAATATTAGTTTTTGTTCCTAAGTTATGATTGGTCTGGTACCTTAAACTCACCCTTTAAGTAAGTGCGTATTTACAGAATCATGAACAGATCAAGGTGGATCGAGATAGCGAGTTGATAACTAGCTTTGTGGAAAATCAAAAATACTATAAGACTGTTAGGAATTTAATACCTGAAAATAAATATGACATGATTAGAAATTAAAGCAATAGGTGAGATTTTTAAAAGCTTTAATAAAACAAGAACTCAAATTAATACATGAGCTGGACGGGTACTGTAACAAAGGGCCATGGTCAGATTCTGATAGAGCTGCTTTTGAACATCTTAAATCTAAATTAGATCATTTAATTACAAAGATAGCTTGAGGTGCCTTCATCAGATCTACAGCTAAATGGAAAGAAGAGGGAGAACACAATACTGCACGATTTTGTGGGTTTGAAAGGAGAATGCAAGGGAGGAATTTAGTCATACTCATAATTAGAGAGACAGCAGGCATAAATCGTGGCAGCAGCACCTGTTACGGCACCAGAGGAGGTGCAAGATGAACTGGAGCAGTTGTACCTGCAACTGATTTCTATATCCTGCCCTACTACCGGAGTGGGTGCCAGACAGCCTGTCACTGATTTCCATGACCACAGAGGCATCCCATTGGCTAATAATAAGCATTTCTTCCATGACAAAGGCAGCAGCCGCCGTGAGATGTTGAAGGCTTTTACAGCCAGTCTGGCATCTTGGTAGCATCCTGGCATCCTCTGGCGTTATCGTAGCATCTTCATGACACCCAAAGGCCACTGACTTTTCATATCACCACATTAGTTTTTCTTATCAAGTCAAACCATTCACGCAAACAGGTACCTTATAACTTCTTTATTAAATTGTTTAAAAATGTTTCATAAATGATGTGAATTTGGCACATGATTAATTGATAGTAAATACAAAGCAGACACTAAATAACCTCCAAATCAAACAATTTGCCCATAAACAGCAAAAGAGGTATAGTAGTTTAAGGCAGCAGTAGCCTAGTGGTGACGGCATTGTGCTTGAAATCCAGAGGTCAGGAGTTCGAAGTCCCAATCCCACAGACTGCCACTCTTTCTCCCTGAGCAAAGACCCCTAACCCCACTGCTCCTTGGGCACCACAGAATGGCAGCCCACTGCTCTATAAGGGGATGGGTTAAGTGCAGAGAGTGAAATGAAAATAGTAGCAGAGAGAAAAAAAAGGTAGGTAGGTTAGTGACACCTTGTGGCAGTCGCATGCCAGTGAAAGTCCCACCGGCAGTGCCACTACCAGATGGGCTGCCACAAAGGGAACTCTGCCCTGCTGCATAATTAATAATACTGAATCTTCTGAGCCAAAATTGATAGCTGAGGAGGTTTTAAAATTGTAATTTAATTTATACTCCTCCTCCACCATTAGAGAAACATTTGAACTCCTGGACAGCATAGAAATTATTTACCTTTAATCAGTAAAATATTTATAATTTTTGTGTGACTCTGTGACTCTGGTGCTTCAGGAGATGTAGAGCATTTGGGAGAAGGTACAGAACCATTTCTACAATAGAGCAACAACATGCACTAAGTCACATCAACACCATTAAACACCAAATACCCTTTGACATAAACAGATCTCAGCTGGAATACTGGCTTTCTTGGCAATACAGCATTATTTTATTAAGTGATTGTGTTGTTAGAATTTTTCTGTCTGTTTCTGACTTGCGTATCGCAGCTCAAATTTATTTATTGTAGGTTGGGGTTCATTACTTTTCCCTGGTATAATGATTTGCCACATAATATTACATTATACAAATATGTGTAGCTTTAACCTTTGTGTTGCTTATTATGTAAAACCATTATTGTCTTAGTGCTATTGAAATCACAGTGGTAAAGTTATTATATATATATATATATATATATATATATATATATATATATATATATATATATATATATATATATATATATATATAT